TTCTGATTAAATCTTTAAATCTGTTTTGATGCAGTGTGAGCTCATTAACTAAGTAGTTTTTTTTTGTTTTTTGTTTAAACATCTTCGCTTCCAACAAGACTGCAAGCAACCACTAATTAGTGTTGGAAGTTACTGGAAGAGAAAAGATGAAGATTGTAGAGCAAGATAACGATTGACAAGCGGCTTAAAAGATTGCAAATTATATAAATCAGGAAAGCAAGATAAAGGAAGCGAATTACAAAGAACTGATGTTTAAGGAAAAAAACTAGAGGAATAAAGGTCACTTTCCAGAATTTTTAAAAATAGGGATATAACATGCTGCTTTCCAGCAGACTCGAAAAACAAGACTCTGATAAGCACTTATTTAATAGTTTTAAAAGGATAGATGACAGCTCCGGAGAACCCTTCTGCAAGACTATAACAGATATGTTGTCCAGGCCACAAGCTGTAGAAGAGTCTAAGTAGGAAACCACTTTAGATACAGAAGCTGGAGTGATAGGAATGTCAAGCAATTAATCAACCTGTTTGACTGCTATATCAGGTAGAATGCAACTAGTGGAATCAAGAGATGATCTTGATGAAAAGTTCTTAGCAAATAATTCAGCTTTGTCTTTAGGTGAGGTGACAAAGTCTGAACTATACAAAAGAGGTGGAATTTCAGATTTGCCCTTATTATTGATACTATTAAAGATTCTCCAGAAGTCACAAAAGCCTAATTTTTTTGATGAAATACAAGATTTCATGACCTGAGAATAGCGGGCTTTGGTGTTAGACAAAACCTTTTTACAATGGTTCCTAGCAGTAATAAAGAGACGTCTGTTTTCTGGAGAATTGTTTTGCTGATAGATAATGGTTTCCATTGGCAATTGCAGCAGCACAATGTGAAGAAAACCATGGAGAAGAGTGAGGCTTGACCTGGGATTGTCGAGAGGGAATAAAGGATTCCACGCCAGTCTGAATCCATAGACTGTAATAAGCACATTTGTCAACAGGAAGACAAAAGATTTCTACCCATCACGAAGAAAATCACGAAAAGAGTCTTAGTCAGCTTTAAGATGTACAATCATAGGGGGATTTTGATGATAAAGAAGAATGAGATAATAGTTTTAGAGAGATCTAACTGTGATCAGAGGTACCTAAGGGTGAATGTGGAGAAACTGAGCACCGACTAGCATCAGAAAAAAGATATAAGTCAAGTAGAGAAGGTAAATGATTCGGGTTGTCTGAATAACAAGTTGGAAAGTTGACTATTTGAATTATGGATTAAGAAAGGCAAAAGTTATGGGCCTTAATGCCTGCAGAGTTACTGACACTAGAGCCAAGCTGTTCAGTGTGATAAACATTAAAGTCACCGACAACAACAATATTTGCTGATGAAAAAAGAGAGAGATTTTGGTCAATATGATCAGAAATAACATCAAGAAGAGTGCAGTCTTGAGATGAAGGAGAGCGATATAGATCAAAGAGAAAAGTGATAGAGTGAAGTGATGCTAAATGAAAGCACATAAAAGAGTAGTCTGTGGATTCATAAAAGAGTAGTCTGTGAACCTAGTTTCTCAACGAACGGGTGAATTCTTCAAATGTAAATGCCCAGGCCAAGCATGTGACTATTGGAGTCTTTATGAATGAAAGGAAGATAACCATCAACACTAAGATTACAAGATGAGACAGTTGAACTCAAATTAGCCTCACAAAGAGAAAGTAGGTCTGGTGATCTTTGCAAGAGATAAGACTCAACAGAAGAAAAGTTACTTTAAAGAACACAAATATTAGTAAATGATAGGTTTAGCAAACTTGGTGATGATAGTGGTTTTTTGTGTTTTATAGTTTTTGTTACTTTATTCATTTTTAAATTTGTTAAAGAACTTGTCTCAAAACTTAGATAGTACTCAGTACACTGTTTAATAGCCCAACCAATTGCCTCATTACTATTAATAAAACCTAACCTGTAACAAAGGGCTCCAATGATGCCTTGGCAATGCACACTAAAACTACAAACAGGGACACCATCCATGCACAACATGCCATTGTTAATACTTTGATATTTTTTAGCTGTTGATGGAATCAGCCTCTCTGAGAGCTACCACAGAGTTTGAGAAACCTGACTACCAGCCATCCTCAGAACCATAAAACTGAGTTTTAGAGCTGTACCCTCGTTAGAAGATAATAGAATGAGTTGCCTAGTCGTAAAAATAGAGATACAAGCAAAACCCATGCATCGAGTCAAGAAGATCCAGCATTCAACATCCTAAACTGGAAACAATGTATTAAAACCACATCTGCGCCAGCCTAACAGATGAAGAAGGGGTGCGAGGCTGGTCAACAGATAGAATCTGTTTACCCCTTAAGTCTTTGCCTAGGAGGCCTTCTACATAACAGCAGCCAGATGCATTTAACATATGCCCAAGATGAGTATTTTTATGTAGATACCATCTCTAGCTTTTACTGAATCAAGAGCCACAAGACAGGGTGTGTTTTATGTCAGAGTTGGTATCTCCTAGCTTTTGCCTAAAAAGGCGTATCCTACAAGGCAGCAGGACATGAAGCAGATTGTACTCGGTTACATGTTACCAGTAGCAGGATAACCTGACCTGACAGATATAATATTTAATACTTTATAATATTATAATACTATATAATATTCAATACTTTAAATGAAAAATATTAAAAAAATATTAGGATTAATTTTAAGATTGCTTCAATAATAATAAAAAAAAAAACATTAAAAAAAGATCTAAGTTATTTAACTGTAATGGAATTCAAAAACATTTGTCACTTTTTTCCAACAAAACTTTTTTTATCTTTTTGAGTGTATTGACTTTTTCTACAAATTTCTTTAAAGATTATTATAGTCTAAAAAAGTTGCTTATAAAAGTTACTCCAGCTTATAAAACTTACCTTTATCTCTATCACATTAGGCTTTATGCCTAATGTTTTAAGGTACTGTTTGCAAGAAGTAGCTCCTTTAATTAATTATTTAAGGTCAGGTCAGGTTCAGGATCATCACAATCACCCTGCTATTGATATCATGTAACCCAGTATCTGCCCCATGCCCTGCAGCCTTGTGTTTTTTTAGAAAAAGGCTAGGAGAAGCAAACTCTGACTTAAAAATCCCCTGCCTTGGGGCTCTTGGTTGATTAAAGGCTAGAGATGTAGTCTCGATTAAAATACACATCTCTGACAGATGTTAACTGCATCCAGCTACTGTCTTATAGGAAGCCTCCTAAGTAAAGATTGTAGGGGTGAGCAAACTAATTTTGCTAACTAGCCTCAAACCCCTTGCTCATCTATTAGGCTGGCGTAGATGTAAACCTGTGTTACGTTTTTTCCTGTCTCAGATTATGAATGCTGGATCTTCTTGACTGTACTCATTGGTTTTTGCTTGTGCCTCTTTGTTAGTGGTCATGCAATTCTTCCTGTTATCTCCTAAATCCATGCGCAGCAGTGCCATGTTGCGCATGGATTGTGTCCCTGTTAATGCTTTTGGTGCGCATTGTTTAGGCCACATAAGGTGCCCTATGTTACAACTTAGTGTTAACTAACAGGACTGAGATAATTGCACAGCTCATTGTTTAGGAGGCTATATATGAATGAGTCAAGTTCTCTTTGAACTTGAATCATGTCAAAAGTAATTCAAAATATTAAACATAAAAAACCATCCCCACCACATAATTGTTTTGATATATCTTTTACAAATATTCGTGGTATAGGAAGCAACCTTTTATAAGTTGAATCTTACCTCTTGCAAAATTTATCATGCTAACTCTTAGTGAAATAATTTAAATTCCGCTTTCTTTCTTCAGATCTAAGTGTTAATGGGTAATATCTTTTTATTCGCAAAGAATCCAAAAGTCACATACTTGGCTTGGAGGTATACATATGCATCAGTTCACCTTTTTGTTGTGAAGGTTTCACAACAAAATCAGGTTTAAATCTTTTGACCATTTTTTTATGTGCTTCTTCTTAGCAACTATTCACTCTATCGCCTTTCTCTTTTTTCTTATTATTCTTCACTTTTTCCAAGACTGCACTCTTTTAGATGTAATTTCTGATCAAATTGTCCGTCACAAAGAAAATCAAGGAAAAATTTCGGACAACTTTAGGGTAGTAGTTAGTAGTGCAGTTTTAGGGTGAGTCCAAAGAAGTAAAAGATTTATAAAGATGCATTGTTGGAATCAGCTATAGGAGAACAAGGAGAACTGAACACAAGCTTGGGTTAGAGACAAGATATAAATCTAGAAATTAAGGTAAGTATTTAGGTTTGTCTAGAAAGCAAGTCACAAAGTTAACTAACAAGTAAGAGATTGAGAAATGCAGAAGTTATGAGCTTTAGTGCAATGTATGATTTTAAACCAGTTTGGTTTTAAACTTGCCTTTTGTTGCTCATTTCTTAAACAAGTACATGGATACATAATTTGTATATTTTGATATTTGTGTTAGTTACAAATAAAGTTTTATGTCCTATCTTTAACAAAGGCGTAATTTTGTTAAAGAAACTCAAACCTACATATATAAAAAGTGTAAAAAAATTTTTTTGGTATAATTGTCTGGAAAGTGTTACTATTATCTTTTCTGAACTTGGTTTACCTAAGTTTAACACTATTTTTCTCAAGTGCTCCATATTAAAACTCTTGTTTTACAGTGATATTTTGAATGCATAACATGTTAGTTAGGAGCTGCTTAATCAATTTTTTTTCATTTTTGTTATAGTTGTTTCTTTGTTTACTTATTGATCTGAAATAGTATTATAATAATACAAATTTTTTTAAATCAATTTTTTGAATAAGCATTATTGGGCCTAAAGACAAGCATTTTTGGAATCAAAATGACGGTTGTCTTGTTTATTCTACAAAACATCATATTATAAATTATACATCACATTATAATTATAAGGCAAGCATAGTCCATGACATATAATATGTTTTTACTGTAGCAAGTTTTTTGTAAATGTATTCTTTATTAATACTTTTATTAATAATGTTTTATTCTTTAAAATATAGGTTATTTTGTTTGGCACAGATCGTTTTGCTTCTGTTGCATTTATGAAAAATACACAAAATGCATTTAAAAATCTTTTTATTAAATCATATGATGGTACTACACCATTCTCTATCTTCAATAAACATGACCTTATTGAAGCAATTGCATATACTAATGAAACAGTAAGGTTTCTTCTCATTTAGTATAGTATAAATTTAAAAATAAAGTCATAAATATTTTTTAATTTTTGAAAATTGTGAATTTTGTTTTTTCCTTTTATGCTAGTATTACAATTTAATGGAAATATCAATTGGTAAGTTTCGATATGCAGGTTTTGTAGAGAAAAATCCTTCACCAATATTAATATGTTTGAAGCAGTATCAGTATGCTAATGGTAATATGAGTCGTGGAATAGATCAAGATGCAGCAACAACAGAAGGTGATATGTTTTATATTAACAAATTCTTGCATAATTTTGTATAAAAATTTGATAAAATATCAAAAGATTTAAATCAGTGATTTTAAAAAAGATTTGATAATTTATTTTATAAATAAATTTACTTTAAAATTAATTTTTTTTAACTAAAAAGTTGTTTCTTAAATCATAAAATTTTTTAGTTTCTAAAAGTTTCATTTAAATTTTTTAAATTGACAAACAAGAATTAAACAGAACATTTTTTAAATGAGTTACCTTTTACACGGATTGTCTTTTTATTATATTATCAAATTTTTATATAATTTTGTAATAAAATTTACTTTAAGATTTTTGCTGAAAAGCGTTTTTATAACTTAAAAGTTGTTTCAAGTTTTTATAAAATTTTCTTTGTTTCTTAAAGCTTTTATAAAATTTTTTTAGTCTTTCTAGTTTCCTGGTTTTCAGTCTGACAATTCTGAGAATGATGAATATCAATTTGAAATCTGACCATTTGTTAATCAGTTCTTAATCAAGTATTTGACTGCTCAATGAAAGTTTTGTTTTGGCTTTTTTTATTGATTTAAGCCAAGCGTTCGACTGTGTCAAACATGAAACTATGTTTAAAAAACTAATTTCATTAAGTTTCCTATCTGACTTAGTTAAATTGGTAATATTTTGGTAAGTTAACCAACAGATAAATGTTCATTGAAAAAACCTCGTTACTTTATCTTTTAAAGTAAAAAATGATACCGGACAGGCAGTCTTTTATTACCCTATTTGTTTTGCATTTCATTAACAACACTATCACCAAATCAAATTATATAATGTTTATATAATATATTACTTCATATTATATAATGATTGTAATATTGGTGCTAAGCCTATAAGGATCATGCTGTATTCAGATGATTTAGTATTGCTTGCTCCTTCATGGAGTGTACAGCAGTGTTTATTGAGTTTATGCACTAGTGTTGTTGCTAAATTATGACAAGTATGCATTTTTAATGCACATAGCAACACATAGTACTTTATTACTTTTACATGTAAATTCACAAAAAAATGTTACTGTGCACTTGATCTTTCAATTAGTGGTGATAACACTAACAATGGACCAATAGTAGATCATATTTCATAGTCCAAAGGAAAGAGAGTCAATCTGTTATGTAATTTGGACAACATTTAATTGAAAAAATCTAACTACATATGTTATAGAAAAAAAATTTACAACTGAATGACATAAAATCAACATATTTAAACTGTATTATAACACATAAGCATTTATATTGCAGTTGCTTCTTTTTTGATATATATATATATGAAAAAACTTACTGTAAGAACACATACCATGATTTCTAGTAAAAAAAAGACTTGCATTGTGGAAAATGGGGAGAGCTTAGGCCAAACAAATATCAGTGAGAAAAATTGTAAAAGGTTGAAAAGGGCCTCAAGCTTCAATCAAATATTTTCAAGATGTATATGATTACTTGTTTTTTACATGGATTAATGAATTGGGCAATTGAGACTACACTAAAGACATTTACTTATGAAAGACTTATTATAAAAGACTTTATAGTAAGTCTTTCATAAGTATCATACAAAATATTTTAATATATTTATAATACATTAATTGTATTTATTAATTTACATCTATCATTTTAAGATACCTGTATCAGTGAGAACAATTATCAGTGAGAAAAAAAATGATAAATTCAATAATGTTTTCATATAATATAATAATGTAGTTTTGTTTGATCATATAAAAATGAATAAAATTGATATGTTTGTATATTTGTATGCAATATTGAATTAAAAATATTATTAGTCTTTTGATTTAAATATGATATCTTTACCCCAAAATATATTAATTATATAACATGCCAGAATTGTGCTAGTTGACCTCAAAAGCAACCTAGCCAGCTAATACCTTGGTGATTACAGGGATCCTGGCACTGGTTTTTATCTGGGGTGTGTGGTGTGTAATTTTTTAAAATTATTTTTATATTTTAATTATACTTTATATTTATTTAAAATTTCGAAAAAGTGGGGGGAGGGAATGTTCATGATATAACCCTACATGGGAACATTCATGATATAACCCTACATAGAATTTCCAAAATACCGGAAAATTATATTACCAGTTTTTGGTATTAAAAATAGTTCAATACCAGTATAAATCGGTGTTGTGCGGTATTTATAAAAAAACATTTTAAAAATATTTAGCTGAATTCTCAAAAAACTTAAAAAAGAAAAAAGAAAATAGAAAAAGAAAATTTTTTTTCTATTTTATTTTATTTTACTTATTAATAAATAAAATAAAATAGAAACTTTTTAACTTTATCTAACTTTTTTTTTTTAATATTATACTATTGTTAATTTATGTGGGTATTCAGACCAGATCTGCTCAAACCTTTGCATTTTATGAAAGAATTGCACAGGGTACATTGCTTCATTAGCTGAATTGTATAATTTTATGAAATACCAGACAAAAGAGCTTTGTTTTGGCATGTTCTTTTTTTGTACTTGTTATATATTGGTTATATATATAAAGTAAAGTAAAGTAAATATAATGAAAATAAAATTACATTTCTTACTTGTATACTATTTATTAATATAAATAGATATATTAAATATTACAATTAAATAATTTTTATAATGCTAAACAATTTATTGTTTCTTATATATAAACAACTATTATAAAAACTTAAATTAATGCCACAGCTATTGTATTTATTTATTCATGTAGAAATAATGTGCAAGGGAGTTGTAATGTTGCAATCCTGAATATTTTCAAAAATAATTTTATTTATTTAATTTGTTACAAATTGTTCAAGGGAGTGTAGTGTTGCAATAACTACAATACTGAAAATTAACTAATTAATAACAAAATTTAATAAACTTGTGGTTTGCAAACAGCGTAAGAAAATAACTTCTATTTTTAATTATTCATTTACAAAATTCAAACACATAAAGTACATTAGTGCAAATTGCTATCTTTATTAAGTACAAATTGTTAACACTTTAAAACTGTAAAAAACCGTTATTAGGAAACAGTTTTGGTAATAAAAAAATCTAGTTGAATACTTGTTTTCAATACAGGTAATGAAAATTGTGGAAACTCTAAGTCTACCCCACCTCGATTCCTGTGTTAGTGTGTACAAATCACAGAAAATTTGACCTTGCAATTAGATCCAAAGCAGTATTACTCTCAAATTTTCACAAGGTTTCATAAACAATCAAATGAATTTATGATTTTTTTCAAATTCTGGGCACACTATGGCTAAGGAGTCTTGCCTGCCCCAATAATTAAATAAAACACTTCATGGTATATATAATATCTAAATGTTTAGTTTGAATTTGATGTTGATATCTGTTGGTAATGATTTCCTTAAGCCCCCTTAAGTACCCACAATCACTTGTAAATTCCAAAGGGCATTTTAGTGCTAATTTGTCCTAGTCTACTTTACTCAAATATAGTTGTCAATAACTAACATAATTTTTTTTTTTTTTAGTTTTTTTTTTTTTTTTGAAAATATATAATGAATGTTTGTTGTTTTAGATTGTGTAGAGATGTATTCAAAATCTATTTTAAGTTTTAAGTTACATCAAAATGGTTTCTTTGACAGGTAAAGCTATAAAATCTTTATAATGTTGTTGTATGGTAATGTTCTTTGTTAATTTATATATTTTTGTTTACAAATTTACTTTCAGAGTTGTAAGCCACAAGTTAAATATATAAAAATAAGCAAAAATTTATTTCAATCACAAGTAGACATTTTGAAACCAGACCATTTTTGTTAGATAAATTTTGAAGTAATGTAAATAGACTCTCTTTTATTTGAAAGAAAAGGTAGAAGTAGAAAAAAGCAAACATAAAACAAAACTGATAATTTTCTTCATAATTAAATCCTCTGTCAGTTACAGAAAGATCTTGTTAGAAAATAATAATGTTAGGCATCCAATTAAATTTTTGTTTAGGCAATTAAAAATAGAAAAAAAATAAGTTTAAAAGTTTGGCTTCATTATGCAAAAAAAACTTGAAATAATTCTAGTTTTCAGCCCTTGGAATTAGGGTCATCATTCATCATTCTGACTGAAATACAGACTTAAAGTGTCTGAGGTCGGTTTATTTTTTGCTGATCTCGTTTCTATATTGTTTAGGTGAAACTTTTGTGTTAAAATTTTGTGCTGACCAAAAATAGGTTCAGTTCGGCAATAAATTGCTAACCTTATTTTTTTTTAATTCTCAGAGCTGGTAGTTTTTGAGTTACTATCAATTTTTGTGTTATTAAATTATTTTTCTGCTGTAATAAATCAATAATTTACTCAAGTTATTAATAACTTAAATTTATAATTAGTAAATTTAAATAAAAGGAAAATCCATGTGGTATTATTTATAATAACAAAAGCTTTATTTGAGTTGCTTGTGATTTTTTGTTAAATGTCTTGCACCTCATAAAAATGAATTTTTTGTTAAAGCAGGAGCTAGATCTGCTTATTTTAGATTTGTTTGTTTGTTTGTATCTATTTTAAAAGTTAAATGTTTTTTTAATGTTTATGAATTAGTCAAAACAAAAACATAAAGTCATCTATAAGAAAATTACATGTTACTATTTACATTTTTTTTTTTTTTTTTTATATATTTTTTTAATTTTTTAAACTATGCGCAAAAAAACTTTAAATTGTTATATTTTAGTGTTGTTTCCATTCATTTAAAGTTTAACTTGAGTGTTATCTTTTGGAATGGTTTGAAGCTGCGTCATGTTCCTGAATGTTTTGAAATGCAAAATAATGTAATATTTTAATATATGATAATATAATAAAATATTTGATTTATTTCATATTTCACTATATTTAATACCATATACCATATATATATATATATATATATATATATATATATATATATATATATATATATATATATATATATATATATATATATATATATATATATATATATATATATATAATGTTAGTTATGATACATAATAATAAAAAGTAGTGTAAAATAATCGTGATACAAAATAACATAAAAAACTTATCATAAAGTTCAGTGTACTAACACGGGAGGCTGCATAAGTGCGAATTGGCATATGTGCGAATTAGCATAAGTGCGCCAAAACATTTTGAAAACATTGGAATAAGTGCGAACTGGCATAAGTGCCAAGCAGTTACAAAAATTGTCATAAGTGTGAACAGGCATAAGTGCGAATTGGCATAAGTGCGCCAAACAAATTTGCAAACATTGGCATAAGTGTGAACTGGCATAAGTGCAAAGCAGTTACAAAAACTGGCATGAGTGGGAACTGGCATAAGTGTGTATTGGCATAAGTGCACCAAATAAAATTTCAAATATTGGCATAAGTACAAATTAGTATTTCGCACATATGCCAATTTGCACTTATGCCAGTTTGCACTTATGCCAATGTTTGTAAATTTGTTTGGCGCACTTATGCAAATTCGCACATATGTCAGTTCACACTTATGCCAGTTTTTGCAATGCTTCGCACTTATGCTAGTTCGCACATATGTGAGTTTGCGCTTATTCAGTAAAATACTAACATATTTATTTATAATATATAAATATAATAAAAATTTAATATATTGTAAAGATACAATTTACTAACATTTTAATAAATGATATGCTGAATATTTAACAAATACATTTTACATATGTTTTTAGTAGAACTTTAGAATTTAGTCAATAGAGAGAATTTTTTTAATTTAGTTTTAAAAACAGGAAGAGTAAAGGAGGATCAATATTTGGTAATACTATTTTCTTTTAAGGACAGGGTGCACGAATATGTGATTGTTATTAAACAACCTCATATAAAAGTAATTAACAATAAACAAAAAAATTATACAACAAACAAAATGAAACAAACAAAACAAGCAAAAATATCAAAAAGTTTCATGGAATAACAAGCAAAAAATATTAAAAATATCAAAAAGTGACAAAATACTTAAAGTTAGTGGACTTATTTTTTTCTGGGTTATTTTAAAGTTTAAACATTGTTGAAAGGTTATGTTAGTATGTAATCTAAATATTAATACTCCAAATGAACGTTTAATGCGCTTAGTTATTCTTTAATGCACTTAATTAAAATTGTTATAACGAATGTAATTGGCTAAAATAGAATCTACTAATGTGTAATTGGCTATTTAAAAAAAAGTCTAATTTAATGTGCTTAGTTATAATGATTAAGAATTGTTGGGCAGATTATTGACATCACATTTAACTGTTTAAACAAATCAAATAATAATTATATATAACTTAAAAATTAATGAAACGAAATTGTTTATACTTGAAATTAATTATGCACAAACATCTCAGGAAGTTAAATAATCCGTGGTGATACTAAACAGGGATAACAAAGTAAATTTTGCTTCAAATAGTTGGAGACCATTATTTAAGAAGTCTTTGTGATGACTTGTTTATGGTTTTTAATAATTTATTTTGTAACGGTCTTCAAGTTGGTATTTTGTGTATGATGACGGTCTATACAAAATATATCGAAAAATCACAAAAGAAAAATGTTTTTGATAATTTATAACTAATTATAACTTTATGTACTAAAAAAAATGTCACTTAAAACCTAAATATATTGCTTTAAAAATTTATTTTTTTTAGAAAATAGTTTTTTACTTATTTAATTTATTAATTTTTCATTTTTTAACTTAATTATATTTTTTGTATCTAAATAATAATGGTATTTTTAAATTTAATTATAACTTAAAATTATTTTTTTATAGATAAATTGTTTGTAAGTTATTAATTTAATGTTCTTAGTTACTGTTTAATGCGCTTAGTTGCAATTGTCAATTATTCTGCTGCGTAGTTTCTTTAACTAAATCTTAAACTCGCGCTCTTCTTTGCTATTTTTAAAACTGTTTTAAATTATTACAGGATTTTGCTTATATTTGGTTATGCTTATATTTTTATACATGTATGTTTGATGCATATATTTTATTAGTTTATTAGGTTTATAGATTTTTCAATTTTTTTGTTGGATTGTTATTATTTTGGAAATAGCATGAAAAAATAACAGGCTTTGATGCTATAGTAGTCTAATAATTATAAGGCAACTTATATTGATTTCGTTATGCTATATACATAAAATGCTCGAACAAGGTTGAAGATAATGTTAAATTAGATTGCTTATGAAGCTAAAATCATTACTTTCTAACATTTTCTGTAATGTATTGAAAACAAGTATAAATAAGTGGGAGGTGTGAATCAGATCTATCATGACTTGTTTTATGGGTCCTGACTTTCTAGTCTATTATTAATAATTATTCTAATAATAGTTAGTGCTAAAAATATTAAAATAAAATAAAACTAAATGCATCATCAAAGTGCTTTTTAAAATTTTCATGATATTTGTGCTTCCCATGTTACTTTTTAGCTTTTCGAAACAAAAATCTTAAACCTTTATCTATTTAGTTGCTGGTTTATCGCTGGTTGCGATTTTCTCCGGTGTTGAGCCATAATTGCTACAATACTGGATTTTCTAGAAAAAAAGGTTCAACTCAAATTTCTTCCTTGTGAACAGCAAAAAGAAATAATGTGGTGAGCAAGTTTAAAAGAAAAATTTAGTTCAATTAAAATTGTTGTATCATAAGCAATTCTATGGAAAATATTTTGAGAGAAATGTTACTAATTGTTGCATCCCTTTTGGGATGCAAAAATTACAAGAAAATCAAAACAAGTTTTATAATATAATCTAGCATTTATTATAGTTACAGCTGAACTAATAAATTAAATGAAATGCATTTTATTTTAAATGAAATACATTTTATTCATGATTAAATTTTCAGTTAATTTTAAATCTTATTCTAATTTTTTTAGGCAATGTAATTTTTCTCCTTACTTGGCAAAACTTTTACAAAAAAAAATTGTATATGTATTGCCAGGTTGGACAAATGTCCAAACTGGCAATACATATACACTTTTTTTTTTGCAGCAAATGTTACAAAAAAAAACAGTAAAAACTGATAAAAATTTTAGTTGGCTGCAGAAATGGAAGTTAAAATGTGAGGAAAAGGTTATGTTTGATACCTCAATAGAATTGCTTAAGATTTCACCAGTCAAATTGAAAAGTGTTCCAAAACACTGCAAAACAAAAGTTTGGCGACACTATAGAAAGAGTTGCAAACTAGATGTTTTTTAAGCATATGATACCAATGAAGCATTTTTAACAGCAGAAACAAACAGTATCATTTCTTACAATAATTTAAGGGAAGATCATGATCCAGACTTTTTAATCTAATAAATCAAAAAGAAAATTTCAGTTACCAACTCTTATTGCCATATAGTGTAAATGTTAACACTTGCACCAGAATCATGGACACTTAAATAGATATCAAGTTACTTTGAAATGTCTGAGTAACTTGTTCGAAGACAAGTTAAAAATGAGTAATCATTACTAGAAAAAAAAATTTCATTACAAATAGCATTACAGTTAATACATCATTTACTCACAATGTATGTGTATTGCATACAACACCAATATACAAAGTTTCTGACTTATGCAATTTGGTTGAATAATAGGTACAAAGATTTTATGATTTTTATTGTTTGTTCATTTAAAAATGTGGAGTACATGCTGCACCTATGTAAGCTATGCCCTGGTGTTCAAGCATTAAAAAGTTGTTTAGTTTGTGAATTTATAGACCATGAGCTAGAAGATGATATAGTATTCAAGCAATGGCAGAGTACTTACCAAATGACACTGCTGTTACAACAATAACTACTATATGAATTTAATGATTTCTTTTGTGACATCATTGACACAACTTACCACAAATTTATTTATAGCAAAAATGCAAAGTAAATGCTTGAAAAACTGTGAAAAAATATCTAAACCAAAACAAATGCATAGTTTTAAAAGTTTTTCTGTTATCTTTATGTATTTGTTATCCAGGATGAAGTTCAAAGTTATTTGAGCAAGTCAACACTCACTTTTTACTATTGCAATTTATTTTTAAGAGAAAACATTTCTCAAATAAAAATCTTTTTGTTACCTTCCAGAAAATGTCTATCATGACACAAGGTTTGTTTACGAGGTTCAAGAAGATATAACTGAAGATATAACTTAAGGAAAATCTACCTAATGCATCATGTGATGTATTATGTTATTTATCATGTGATTTATAATTTTTGTCATCACAGTAAAGACTTTGATTTAAATTCTGAATGGGTAAATTTTAGATAACTGGCATTTGTTTTTAGTTATTTTCAAAAATGGAAATTGGCCAAACTCAAGCACATTTGGAATAAAGGTATTTAAGTGGTAGAACATTTCCTGGCACAAGGATGTATCATCATTTTATTTCTAGAAAATATTTTATAACTTTGTTCAAACAATTATAAAAAATTGAAATAAGCTATTAAAAGTTATTTTTAAAGTTTAAAAAGTTAGTTCAAATAAATTATAAAAAATCAGTTTTGATTACACATATAATATTTATTTAATACACATAAGGTCTTTATTTTTCCAAAAAACATAAATAACTAAGAGATTTCAATTGATTGCTGAAGATGTAAGTAAACTTAATACAAAAATCAAGTTCATGCATCCCCATGAACTGGATAAAATTTCCTTTGGTCAATGAGAAAGGATGAGTGTTGGGTGCTTAATCCTGAAGTTATATGCATAATTTCAACACTAAAATACATTATCAGGTTATATGTATAACATATCCGATTTAGATTTAAACAATATAAACAGTTGGTTACAAAAAAATATAAAATAAACGTTAAAATGTTGTAATTTGTTTTCTAAATCTGTTTCTTTGCGAAAGTTGTCCCTCCTTTTGCCCCCATGACATGCCCATGACTAAATATGCCCTAAACTAGTTACTAAATAACACTATCTTGAAGTTTTTGTGTAAAAAATTGTTTAAAAAAACGTTCATTGGAAAACTTACGTTTAAAATTCTGAAATTTTTAAGACTTAAATAAATCAAATTTTTTTTCAGATTAAGATTAAGTAATGTTATACAATCAGCATTTTTCATCATTATATGTCATCATATATATATATACATATATATATATATATATATATATATATATATATATATATATATATATATATATATATATATATATATATATATATATATATATATATATATATATATATATATATATATATATATATATATATATATATATATATATATATATATATATTAATTTGTAATCACACTACCTCTTATTTGGTAAGGTCTGTTATAAAAAGTCTATAGTTAAATTTTTTTTTCAAGCTGATAATGGGAAGTGGTCCCCCAAACCCTATTTCGGAGCCCTAAATTGACCAAAATTTGTCTAAAAACCTAATATTGCAATTCTATTTTTATTTCATACAAAATACTGCTGTAAATTGATCTGAAAACAAATAATATAAAGTGTTATGTTACATCATAGATAGTTCACAGAAGACTGAAAAGTACAAGCAAATTTATATTTACCAAAAATCGCTCCTAAATGCATAGTTTGATTTCGTCATTGAAAAATGTGTGGAAAATACGAGGGGGTGGGGGGATATCATATAAGACTTAATTGTTTTATTATTTGACTTTGAGCACTTTATATTTATTAAATTTCAATTATATTCTTTTTGTTATGGTAAAAAAGTATAAAAATATTACTTAAGAAGCTGGCTGCTTCAGACAAAGCAACATGCTCAACTACAAATGTTTGGCTAGTTGGACATATTCTCTTAACAATAGATAGGCCCACTCGACAAGTGGCGTTGCCCTATGTAAAGTTTTTTAAGAAATAATAATCAAAAAGTCAACTCTTTAAATATCCTGCATCACAGTTGCAGATGAAGTTATGATTTTCTGCCTTAAGGCTAATATTCCAACTAAAGCAAAGCCTCATGTAGTTGCTTAACTAAAGAGTATTCACAAGCAACATGTTCAAATGTCTAAGCACAAAAATAGGAAATCAGCTACTCAACATAGCTATCAAGAAAAATTTGCTGCCAAGATGAATGCACTTTTTGATGTTGCCCATGGTGAATGGGATTGTCTCATCAAGTTAATGAAAATAAACAATTTTTGATAGACCAGAAAGGTCCCTGAAGGGTGTTAATGACATCAGAAGACTAATGTATAAGAAAGCAGTTGTAAAGTATAGAAAATGCAAGTTAAATAAAAAGGTGCTTTGAACAACATAAAGACAGTAAAATCTACAGATACATTAATGGATTACAATTCAGATTACTCTTTGGATGAAAGTTCTGACTGTGATATGTCAATTCAAGCACAAAAAGCTTTTACTCATCCAAATAATTCAAAGCATTCTACTATGGGCACTAGTCAACACTCAATTACAATATCAAAGTACCAAACATTTTATTCTTGACAATCAACTCTTTCATGTAGCATTAGACTGAACAAAAATAACACCACAAAAAGCTATGATGGTTGTTACACCAGCCCTAGCTGCAATTGGTATTGATGTAAATAAGTTAACATTTTCATGTTCCACTTTAATGGAAGCTCGAACTACATCTGGTAAATCTCTTGCAATAGCAGTAAGAAAATATTTTCAACCCTTGGTTCCACTAGTTGCTCATTTTGGTGGTAAAATAATGTCGAATGTTGGTAGAACTAGACATCAATGTCTGCCATTTGTTGTATCTGGCTAGGATATTGAGAAATTACTAGGGATCTCTGAGATACCTGTTGGTACTGGAGCTCATATGGGATAAAAAGTAGTTGAGTTCATTTATGAATGGCCTGGCGTTGAGGAGCATCTTGCAGGTTTTGCTTTGAAGTCCCAGTGGGAGCTAATAGAAAAATCAAAGTTTGAACCACTTGAAAGTAATAAAAGCTGGCCTTACAAAGTTTGAAAAAGAATGCCTTGCATCTTGAAAATCCGATGTGGTGGAAAATTTGAAAAAATATTTAAAGGAAACGCAACCAGGTGATGATTATAAAGAATTCGGAAGACTTGCTCTTTTCCTTTTTGGAGAAAATGATACAACAACTATTTGCATTCCTGGGGCTTACCATCGTGCAAGATGGATGGCTAAAGGTATATACTGTTTAAAAATTTTTGGTTTTTGTCATCAGTTAATTATCACAGAGAGAGAAATTAGGATTTTAAGAAGAATGTTTCTCTTCATAACCACAATATATGGATGTTTCTGGTTTTCAGCACCTCTCACAACAGAAGTACCAAAAAATTATCTCCTTCTTTTAAAAGTAATTGTGAACTATTGTTAAATTGACAGCAAACTTACAAATGTTGCAAAAAATAAAATTAAACTTCAGTTATGGTATTTAAATGAAGATCTAGCTGCGCTCCTATTATTCAGTGATAAATTTTCTGTTGAAGAGAATATGGAAATTGTAAATGCTTTACAAAAAGAACCATTATCAGGTGACAATAGAAGACTTGCTCTAAACAAGATTTATACATTCTCTAAACTTTCTATAGCTAATTTTGTTACACAATGCTCAATGAATTTGTTTAACTCTCAATCCACCAAAAGAATTCTTGATATCATCTCCTAAAACTTGGGCTAATCGTGATGACTACAAGTCTGCTTGTAAGATAGTTTGTGCCATGAAAGTGGTTAATGACTGTGCAGAATGGGCAGTTAAATTAGCCACTGACTTAAATGAAGTTTTGACAAAAAATGACAATCAACGTCAGCTTCTCTACCAAGTAGTTGAGTATCATAGAAAACATTTTTCAACTGAAGCTACAAAGAAATAATCAAGCCATAATTATTCCAAATAAAAACAATTTAATCTATTCAAATATGCATATATATTTATATATATATGTATATATATATATATATATATATATATATATATATATATATATATATATATATATATATATATATATATATATATATATATATATATATATATATATATATATATAATTTAATCAAGGTTTGATTAAATTATTTATGTTATTTAATCTAAATAATTTTAAAATTTGTTATTTATAATGTTTTCTAGAAGACATAAGAAATTTTAATTCTTTTAAAAGTTTGATTTGGGTACATTATTTTTTGTTATTTTTAAATTTATAAATTTCAGTTATGGCTGAGGTAGAAATGGCTGGTAGAGGACACCATTTGGGGCATATGAGCAACTGGTACTCACAATTGAAAAAAATTAGGAAAGGTTTAAAAAAAAGGACCCTTTTTAAGTATTTATAACAGCTTTTTGTATCTTTACCCCTTCCCCAAGTTTCCCACACTATATACATTAATACACTTGTTGTCACCCTAATAAGTAAAACTGATGCATGTAACACTGGTAATAGTTTGTTTTAATACATTTCAGAAGCTTATCATTTTCAAAAAAAAACAGATCTCAAATGGGCTTAAGAAACAAGTCCAGGTTCTGGTGTCCTGAGGGTGGGGTGTGGGTCTCAAAACAGCTTAAAAAACGGGTCTCAAAAAACAGGTCTCAAAAGAGCTTAAAAAACAGTAGAGTAGAGTCCGGGAATAGGTCATTGCTATATATATTCTTATAATTTTTATAACATTAATAAGTAAAACTGATGCATGTAACACTGACATTAACTGATTTTAATACATTTTTGAAATATGTCATTTTAGACAAAAACAGGGTTTTAAAGGGGTTACAAAGCAGGTGTGGGGGACCACTTCCCATCATCAGTTTGCAAAAATAAAATTATCTGTGAACTTTTTTTATTGAGCCTCGCCAAATAAGAGGGTGTGCAATATTAAATTCAAATTAAAAAAAAAAAATCACACACACACACACACACACACACACACACACACACACACACACACACACACACACACACACACAATATATATATATATATATATATATATATATATATATATATATATATATATATATATATAGTTTCTTTTTTTTATTGCTCAGATAGTTTTTGACAATTCACATCATGATGGTCAACTTCGTATTAACCTTGAAATGAGTGAAGATATTTTGAATTGTCCAGAAAAGTTTGTGATATTAGGTATAAATAATATTTTTCATACAAATGTTGTTTAAAAGTTATTGTTGTTCATTTTGTTGTTTTTCTTTTAATCATAAAAATTATTCTAAATTTAATACTTACTTAAAGAAATATGAGCTATTCTTTATGGATATCATCAAATACACCATATAAGCAGAATTACCAAGAGGAATTAATTAGGGTTAAGAATAATTTTATACATTTAAATACGTTTTATAGGAATTAAAAATGTATTTATATAATTGTTTATATATCGATAAAAAAGCAATGCATAAAATACGAATTATGAAATGCTATGTTTACATTAAGCGTAAATATTTACGCTTAATGTAAACATAGCATTTCATATATATATATATATATATATATATATATATATATATATATATATATATATATATATATATATATATATATATATATATATATATATACAAATATATATATACAAATATATATATATATATTTATTGTTATTATTATTGTTATTATTAATATTATATTGTTTTTAAATTTTGCCAGTTTTTGTTACTCATTAAAATATACAAGTTAAAAATTGCCATTACTCATTAAAATTGCCTTTACTAAATAAGCCAGTTTTCAGTCATAATATTATAATGTTATTTTAAAGTGTTATCACAAAATTTTAGGTTGTTCAAATCAATACATTTATAAGTTAAATTTTATAAAATACTTAATTTTTTTTAAATAATATTTATATATATATATATATATATATATATATATATATATATATATATATATATATATATATATATATATATATATATATATATATATATATATATATATATATATATATAAATATATCAGTGTTTGGAAGAAGACATTCCTAAAGAAACAGATTCCTGGAACTAGTTCTTTTTATGAGGAACTAAGCTAGGAACTGGTTCCTTTTAAAATAACGGAACGAGGAAAAAGAATAAATTCTTTTTTTAGAAGAACCTGAACAAAAAGTAATAGTTCCTAAAAATTTTAGGTTATATATATATATATATATATATATATATATATATATATATATATATATATATATATATATATATATATATATATATATATATATATATATACATATATATATATATATATATATATATATATATATATATATATATATATATATAATATTTTTTATTAAAAAAAAATTAAGTATTTTATAAAATTTGACTTTTAAATGTATTTATTTGAACAACCTAAAATTTTTTGGAACTATTACTTTTTTAAATACATTTAAAAGTCAAATTTTATAAAATACTTAATTTTTTTTAAATAAAAAATATTATATATATATATATATATATATATATATATATATATATATCAGTGTTTGGAAGAAGACATTCCTAAAGAAACAGATTCCTGGAACTAGTTCTTTTTATGAGGATCTAAGCTAGGAACTGGTTCCTTTTAAAATAACAGAACGCGGAAAGAGAACAAATTCTTTTTTTGGAAGAACGTGAACAAAAAGTAATAGTTCCTAAAAACTTTATAAATATGGATTTTGCTAAAGTTGTTTTTATGGTTTAAAAGCAAAAAGCGTTGTATTTAGATTAAATCAAATCTAAGTTTGGTTTCAGTTAGCCAACAGCCGTAACTACTAATTTTTAACCTAAACCAAATGTCAATTAGTTCGGAATTAGTTCATATTTATTTGGCCATATATACTAAATTTTAGATTATATTGGTTACCAATATAGTTTTAAAGTTAGTACATGTAGCCAACAAAATCCTAAAATTCCTTGTAAAATAAAATTTTCAATATAATGAAAAACATGATGACATTTAGTACTATATGGGGAAAAAAAGAACTAATATTAGCACCATGTTTGTTGCTTTGTTTTTAAACTATTATGGCTTGATGGTATCAAACGTTTTACAGCAGAAACCTGGTTAATATCTTTGTTTGAAAGTGTTATTTCTCCCTCTGCAGCTTGTGAAATCAAGTCCTCTTTGCGTATAGCAACCGGTACATTTAAAGACTTTTTTTGTTTAGTCCCGCAGATACCAGAAATGTTTAAAAACTCTAAAATTAATAACTAAGTAAAACACATTCAAAAAGCAATGCTTGCCAACCGAAACAATAAGTTACTATTACAATTTTCAAAATAGAAATATGTATTACAAAAGGAACGAAGTGGGAACGAGTTCTCTTTTTTGAGGAATGTGGAGCGAGTTCTTTTTTTGACTAAAGAACAAGGAACTAGAACTAGTTTTTATTTTACAAAATGATTAGGGAACAGAACAAGATCCTTTAAAATGGAGTATGTTGCAATGATTATGTCGCAACTTTTATTTTATATATGTCGCAACTTTAGTGTTTCTCAAAAGAAGCAAAATTATATTAAATTTTCAAAAATAACAATCATTTTATAAAAAAACTTTAGTCAAGATTTTTTTTGGAATTATTATCAAAAAAATACACTTCTTTCATTTTTAGTTATAAAAAGTCTTTTTTCTGCAGTAAACTCTAAAATAGTAATTTGTTTATAAAATGATTATTATTTTTGAAATATATATATAATTTTGCTTCTTTTGAGACCCAACATGACATACTTTTTTTTTCATAATATTAGGAACCCGGTAAGTTTTCAAGGGTCTTGTGCTCCCCCTAGATCCAATAAAATTTTGAAAAAATTTAATCGAATTGTATGTGAGAACCAATAGAAAATTTTAAGAATATGAACAAATCTTTTTAGAATATAAGGGGAGGCTAGGACACCCTAATATATGTATATATATATATATATATATATATATATATATATATATATATATATATATATATATATATATTGTTGTTGTATGATTTAGTATTATAAATACTAAACTCTTAATTGTTGTCGAGTGCTCAATATTTAAGAAATATATATTTTTTTAAATATAGAAAAAAAAACTTTTAATGGAACTTAAAGTTTCATACCTATCGGCAATCATCAGCCATGAAGTACAAAATCAAAAGTATAAAAAACCGTTTAAAAATTACAAACTGCAGTAGAATGAGTAGAATTCAATGTTACGGTAGAATGATATCATAATGAAATTAAAATATTAATTTGCAAAAATATTTTGTGCCAATATTATTGTAAGAAAAAAAATAGATAAAAAAAAGAAATTAAAGAAATAATAATATTTAAAAAAATAAGTGATTACCATAATTACTTATACTGAAATGTAAATTTGCATTAAACGTTTTAAATTAATTATGTACTTTACTTTTTGACAAAAATTAATTGTGTAAGTAAAAAAAAATAAGTAAAAGAGCCATCCCTATTAACCAGTATATCTATTGCAGCTGATTCCAGAGAAAACAAGTAAAATTAAATTTAAGTAAAATATTCAACGCTTTTTAACCCTAATCGACAAGCATTTTCCTAAAGACCACAACCTACACAAAACATTTAACAGAAATACAATTAAGATAAGCTACTCCTGCATGCCAAATATTAAATCTATCATCAACTCACAAAAAAAAACTTTCTACCGAAGTTTGTAATTTTTAAACGGTTTTTATATTTTTGATTTTGTTCTTCATGGCTAATGATTGCCAATAGGCATGAAGCTATAAGTTCCATAAAAAGTTGTTTTTTATATTTAAATATATATATATATATATATATATATATATATATATATATATATATATATATATATATATATATATATATATATATATATATATATATATATATATATATATATAAATATATATATATAAAGGGAGAAAGAGAGAAATATGTATAAATAATAAAACAGCTTTCTAAAATTATTAGGAGAAGATAACAAAATAGTTCAAGATCTTTTGATCACATTTGACATATTGGTCATCTTGATCTGTACCCTTTCATGTTTACTTTGTATTCGATCTCTTGTCAAATCTATGATGCTGGCGGAAGTATGTTTTTATACTTGTAAATGTATTATATAACCAGTTATAATATACTGTACATGATTTGAATAATTTTAGAAATTGTAGTAATAATGTTATTAATATTTAGTAGTTTTGCAATATAATAGTTATTAGTTATTAATTACGCAATGCAACCATTAATTGTTAGTAATTATGTAATATAATTATTGATTTTTAGTATTCATACAATATAATTAATATTTTGTTATTATAATAAACATTAATATTATTATTGCATAATTTAATAATTATGCAACATTATTAATAATGTTTAGTAATTATGCAATATTGGATGTAACTAGTTTTACCAATAAGCATTTTAAACAAATATTCAAATTAGACTTTTTTTTTCCAGGCCGCTCAAAAGTACTTTGCTACTTACAAGAGTGAAAACCTCACAAAGTGGGATGTGCTAGAACTTATTAATAAGTGGTTTGCAGTTATTGTTATTAGCGATTTGCTTTCTATTATAGGCTCTGTCTATAAAATTCGTGTTGATGAAAGAGTATGTATAATGGTTTTTTTATCAATTTTGATTTAATAAATAAAGTTATAAATATGTTTTTGTAATTATATTTTAATTTATGTACAAACAAAAACAATAGAATATCTTTTATATTAATTCATCTGTATTCTATGTGTATTTATGATTACTTATGAGGTTTGCACATTGTTCCTAAATGTATTGTTGAAACAGAAACATATTTTTTTTTTTTTTTTGTTATTTTTTCTATTATTTAGAATTTTTAAACTAAATGAACAGAAAATTTTTAAACATCATCTAAAATATAAATCAGATTTCATTGTCTAAAAAAACAATTTCTGCATCAGAAACAGTTTCCCTGGTGTTAGCTTCATTATTTTATTCATCTTTTTTTTTTTTCTTTTTTTTTCTTCTTTTTAATTAATATAGGGTAGGGTGGGGCAAGAGGCCCAGGTGGGGTAAAAGGCCCATCCTGCAGTTATAAAGAACCTAGGTAAAATATTATAATTATTGTTTTGTAGTATGAATGATAAATGTGTAACAGTGTTGCGAGCGAATTTTGGCGAATTTTTAGTAGAAATATAATTTTTAACAGAATATTGAAGACTTGACAGGTAATAAGAATAGGACATTTTGATTTTTTGCGTAATTTTAAAAATTTTTTGTAGATTATTGTTAAACTTAGTTGATTATTTAAATGAGTTTATGTATTTGTAAGCGTACAAATTATGTATTGATTATTTACATAACATTCATTGTACCATAGAATAATATGTTTTTAGCAATTTTTGCACCGACCATTTTGGGGCAAAAAGCCCAGTTTGTTAATGGGGCAAAAGGCCCATCCTGAGCTTTTTACCCCTTGCATTATTTAAGTAGAATGTTCAAATTTTAACTTTATTTTATTTATAGATATGGTTAGAAATTACAAAAGGAAGACAAAAAGAGGAAGTTATGGAGCAGAAGGTTTACAACGGGCTTTAGATTCAGTAAAAAATGGTATGTCTTTGCGTAAAGCTGAAAACAGTTTTGGAGTTTCAAGGAAGATATTGAGAAGGCATTTGCAGGGCAAAGTAAGACAAGTTGGGAGCAATAAATTAGGAAATCATGTGAATACTTTTTCTATTGAAATTGAACAAGATCTTGTTAAACACATCCAAATGATGGAAAGAGCATTATTTGGATTAACTACGACGGATATCCGGCGGCTAGCATTTGATATGGCCGAGCGACTTCACTTGAAGCATTCATTTAATACTTCCTCCAGGCAAGCTGGCAAGGACTGGCTTAGTGGTTTTTTGAAACGTCATCCAGAATTAACAATTAGAGTTCCAGAGGCAACTAGTATGAATCGAGCAGTTGGATTTAATTGACCAAAAGTAGACCAGTTCTTTACCGTTTACAAAGATATACTTACAAAGAATGCGTACGGACCTCAGTCAATATGGAATATGGATGAAACTGGCATCACAAATGTCCAAAAGCCAGGAAAAGTGCTTGCCACAAAAGGTGTTAGACAAGTCGGTAAAATAACTAGTGCGGAAAGAGGCACAACTGTTACAGTTATATGTGCAATAAATGCGAGTGGATCGTACATTCCTCCGATGCTAATTTTTCCTCGAAAAAGACTCATAGATCAATTAATGAAAGGTGCTCCTCCTGGCAGCATTGGTGGAGCAAGTGCATCTGTTTGGACAGATTCGACTTTATTTCTTAAATGGCTGGAGCACTTAGCTCTTCATACATCAGCAAGTATTTCAAATCCCAAACTTCTAATTGTAGACGGGCATCACAGCCATAAGACTCTTGAAGCAATTGATTTTTGTCGCAATCATGGGATTGCAATGATAACGTTACCACCACACTGCACACATAAAATGCAACCACTGGATCGAACTTTCTTTAAGCCATTAAAATGTAGCTACAACTCCGCAGCAGATAGCTGGATGCACACACATCCAGGCAAGCAAATAAATATGTATGACATGGCAGAAATTTATGCAACAGCCTATGCAACAGTTGCTGCGGTGGATAAAGCTGTGAAAGGATTTGAAGTGTCTGGCATTTTCCCATTCAACAAAGCCATCTTTACAGATGAGGATTTTATAGCTGCACAATTAACTGATGAGCCAGAACCCGTGATCACACTTGCAGTATTGGACGACAGTGCTAGAAACGAAACAAGTGAACCTACGAGTACAAATGAAGAAGCCGGCAATGCGGTGGATGATGAAGCATCGGTTAATGTGATGGAGACTGATAGGATTGTAACAGGAGATAGCAATGAGTCCGATGAAAATCAACTAGATAAAACAGCTGATCATCCTGGTTTATCCGAAGCATTGCAGATTATATCAGAACTAAGCCCTATTCCAAGAATAAAGAATGTACGCAGTCGCAAACGAAAAACCCAAGCAGCAACTGTAATAACTTCTAGTCCTTATAAAGCAATGTTAATTGAAGCAAATGCAAAGAAGACAAAACAGAACAAGCAAGTAGTAGTTGAAAATAATAATGAGGAAAATGATGAAGACGAAATCGATGTAATCGCAGACAAATCCAAGAGAACGAAAAGTGGAGATGACAAAGAAACCGGGAAAAGGAAGCAATATGCGAGAACAAAATCAAAAAGGACAATCAAAAGTAACGCATCGAATGCTAACGTGATAAGAAAAGGGTCAAAAGAACGAAGATGTGTAGGTTCTGTTACTAACAGTGATGATACGCCATGTTGCATGTGTGGTAAAAGATTTAACGAACCACCCATTGATGACTGGCAGCAATGCCCAGAATGTCTCAACTGGTACCACGACGGCTGTGGTCCTGATGACACTGCTGTCTGCTTTCACTGCCAATAGGCATAATCAATTCAACTAGTCTTACTGTAGTTTTTTAGCTGTCTTTTTAGCTGTATGAATTAGTTTTTTAGCTGTCTTTTTGGGTTATGAATTATTTTTTTAGATGTCTTTTTAGCTCTATGAATTAGTTTTTTTTAGCAACTTTTAAGCTCTATGAATTAGCTTTTAGCTGTGTTTTTCAGCTCTATAAATTAGTTTTTATAGCTATCTTTTTAGTCTATAAATTTTTAGCTCTTTTTAGCTCTTTTAATTTTACGGTGCTGTTTGCCATTGTCATATGATAGCTTATATGGTGCCATATGCTGTTTGGCATTGTCATATGATAGCTTATATGGTGCTACTTGCTAATATTATGGTGCTAAGTGTTCTACTAAAACTTTTGTTGGACATTTTTACACACAAATATATTGTGACTAGTAAAACGTGTATTGTTGCAATAAATTTTTATTGTAAAAAAGGAATATTTCAAGCTATTAACGTTTGGGGTAAAAGGCCCAGGGTAGGGGCGTTTTGCCCCAGCAATGGGGCAAAAAGCCCACTCTATAGCAGTTTATAAAAAGCATATTTCCATTAAAACTTGAGTAGCCATTAAGAAAATAACTTTAGATACTTAAGTTTATTATGTATCTGAAATAATGGTAACATAAATTTGTAGATACGTTTATTGGATCAGTAAAAAAAAGACGAAATTGCTTATGGTGGGCTTCTTGCCCCACCTTACCCTATGCATACATGTACATATATATATATATATATATATATATATATATATATATATATATATATATATATATATATATATATATATATATATATATAATTGATTTTTTTATGAGATTAAATAAAAATAACTTCATAGTTTTTACTTCTAAAAGTTTCATGGGTTTAGCAATCATCAGGTAAAAAAATAGATTGTTTTTTTTTGTTAAAAAATATACTCTTAATAAACATTGTGACATTCAAAAACAATTATAAAACTGTTACTTTTTGCAAGCATGGTTTGGTTTTTTAATCTTTGGACTCATGGTTGTCAAGATCTTGTTTTTGTGACGGCACTTAAATATTATTTTTGTTTTTTTATTTAATTAGATACCTTTTATATTCCTTGCATACCTTTGTACCTTTGTATTATATTATGCAAAGTTTTTCATGAAGGCAAAGCAAGCATTTTTTTTTTATGTTGCTGTAGGCGGGGACTTGTTTAATTATTGACCAGGTTAATTTGGGTGTTATTTTTAAGTTTTCTTTTTCTGCCATATTTACTTTAAAAGTGTGGTTAAATTTTTTATCTTTTTGTTTGTGGTTAGCTCATCTTTTCTTCCATTCACTTTATGCTAGGCCAATATATACTTTTTCTGGAGTCTTAAGGGGGGGGGGGGGGGATACTATACATTTATAATTAACATTAGAGACGCTACATTTTCCTATTATAGGGCAGTTTTCTTTATTTTTACAATTGCGTGGTGGGTATTCTTTTGGTCTTTCTAAACTGATTTTCTTGTTGTGGCTTTTTATTATTCTTTTGATATTTTTGGTGCAGCTGAAACTCACGTTGATGGTATTTTGATTGAATAGTTTACTAATGGGGTGGGATTTGGAAAGTGTTTGTTAATTAAGTTTAGGAAGATATGTTCGATATTTGTAGAAATGCTTTTACCATACGGAGGATTGAACCATATATTTCTTTTTCTTTTCTTTTTTTTTTTTTATCTTTTTTGGGGTTTATACTTACTAAATACTAAATTAAAACCAGTGAAGCCATTTTTTCTTAATATATCTTTGTATTCTGGTATAGATAAAATAAATGTTTTTTTATTTGAAGAATTTTGTGATAATCTGTCGTTGATAGAGATGGGGATTTGCTTTATTATTTGTGAAGGATAATCGGAACTATTGTGGATGTAACATAGATATTCATTTGGTTTAATAAGTTGGTAGGAGTTATTTTCTAAGTTAAAAAATTCATCTAAGAAGTTGACAGCGAGTAGGTTTATTCGGATCTCTATTTTAAAACCAATCATTTTTATAACTCTGATTAAGTTTTTTCATATGTTATCAATTTTTGTAAAACTGTATCCAGTTTTTTTATGAAGTACCATTAAACCATTGTCAATATACACCATTGGCCATAAATTAGAGCTAATTTTTTTTGTTTGTTTTATA